CATCCAGTTCCTCTTCCCCAACATCCGACCCCCTCCTCCTCCTTCCCCTGCTCCCCGCCGGGCCCACGGCCGCTCTGAGCCCCGCTCCGCCCGGCCCGCCCCTCCCGCTCGGCTCCCGCACGCTCCGCTCAGTCAGTGGGCGGCCGCGGACGGGTTGAGAGTTAGCTGGAGCAGGTCGAGCAGAGGTCGCGCGCGCGCGTGAGAGTGAGTGAGCGAGCAGAGTGTGACAGTGTGTGTGCCAGTGTTGTGACATGAGCGTGACGTGCCGGTGCGTGTGACACCGTGTGACGGGAGCGTGATGCCCTGCGCTGGGCGTGATGGCCGCCCCGCGGAGCGTGCGGAGCGTGAGCGCCCTGAGCGTGCTGCTGCCCTCCTTGTGCTGCGCCCTGAGTGTCCTTCTTGCAGCGCCGCCCGGCGCCGCCTCGGCCGCCTGGAGTCAGATCGAGTCCTGCGCCGGCCGCTGCCCCTTCCAGGTGAGTCCTCCTGGGGCTCGTCGCCTTGGCCTGGCGCCCCCCGCGGCCGATGTTGGTCCCCCGCACAACGCTCGCACATCCACCCTCTCTATACTTCCCCCTCAAACCGTGTGCGCGAGGAACGACTGTCATAAAAGAACAACAAGTAGAAGAACAGCAGGCAATTTGACGACGCATTGCATAAATTGGTCCATCACATCACATGCGCCGCCGCCCCCCCCCCTCCCCCACTCCCTGTACTTGACTGTACCCTCCCGCTGCTCCGTGCGCGGCCGTCTCCCCATAAAGGCTAAAGTGACCGGGCCGCCACTAATTCAGTCACAGAAATTTGACGCCGGCTTTTCGATACCCCCCGCCCCCCTCTCCACCTCCCATTCGCCCTGGCTCTCTATCGCGTTCAATTTCTACCCCGGCAACTCCCCACATTACGTTTTGCTGCTCAAGTTTAATGGGCTGTAATCTCGGTAACTACACCCAACCCTCCAACTTTTGCATACAACTACACTTATTTCTAAAACAAGAAATATCTCGAGGGGGCATCACTCTCCCCAGTCAGTGTGACGAATCCAGTCATTTTCAGTGTCACTGTTCACTCACATTCCAATACTGTCGTGAACCTTAAAATCTGTACTTTAATAGTGTTAATTTGTTCAATTTTCCACTTTGGGGTGCAATTTTTTTCCTCCAGTCAATTTGTTTCTGACAAATCACCAGTGGTACGACACTCGTTTGGCAAGTGGTGTCCCACTTTGAAATATCATTACATGAGCGTCAGTCCTGGCCGCGAACAGAGGGTGCGTCAGCGGCCCAGGGCGTGGGCCGGGGCCTGGGCCCGCCGCGGCGACCAGAGCAAAGATTGACAGAGACGGTGCCTGGTCCAGGCCCGGGCCCGGGGCGGCACCGACGGGACGGGACGGCACACACACAGGTCAACTTCCGGTGGGTGTCCAGCGGGTCGTGGAGTGGCGCAGCGCCGCCCGGCCCCGCACGGCAAGTCATGCGCATCGCGACTGTACTCTATGCCTGCCGCGGGCCGCGGGCAGCCGCGGGCCGCGGGCAGCCGCGGGAGCGGTACAGAGCAGGCGCCAACGCCAACCCAGGGCCGGAGGCCGGGTATTCGCTGTCGATAAAACTTGTAATTCATGACAAAAATTTAAATTCCAAACGGTAGCATCTGAGGAGATGTCTTCTGCTCCCGGCTCCGATTTGACACTTCTTACGTCTTCCTGCTCCCAAAGTCAGTGAAATGCCCTGCCGCCGACAGAGATCTCTGACGGAGCCTGCTTTGGCACACAGTTGTTATGTATCTTAATGATGAACACTCTGCGGGGGTGGAGCCAGCCCCAACCCGCCGGCTCAGGTGTGTACCTGTCCTGTCGGGAGCCAGGTACCGGCCCGCCCCGGGGCGGGTGTGAAGGAGGAAGCAGCGCCCTGCACTAATTGGTTGGTAGTATCTCTCTCTTTTTTCTCTTTTGTAAACCTGTGATCACTCTTTCTCCCTTGCTCTGCTGCCGTTGAGTGACCGCTAGAACCCCCTTCAACAGAAGAGAGGGAAGCGGTCATGGTCTGCTGCTCGCTGCTTCCGAAAACTTCTCGTCACCCTGGTTCGGATCCTCCCCTCCACGAGTATTCCTCCCTCTGGGTGCGCTCGGCCCCGCCCTCCGCCGAGGATGTGTCAATCTGTTTTCATTCCGTGACGTAACGATCCTCCTCCAGTCGCTGGGGTGTGAGTGAGATCACCGAATCACCGTGTCGGGACCGGCGTTTTATAAATCAAATACACACACACACACACACACACACACACACACAAACACAGAGGAAAAGAGAGCCCTTAGTATATCGTAGAGTAGCACAGTCATTAGTCTCTTCAATAGGGTGGAGATCATTTATTATTCTGCTTGAACATTAAATAGAAATGGATTTTGCAGAGCAGGTCATTGTTGTTTTGTGGAAAGGGAGGGGGTGGCGTAGCCAAACCGAAGCAAATGCCAATACTGCCCAAAACAAACAGTGGAGAGCTGAGAGGAGAAGCGGCTTCACGCGCCGCCCTTCTCTCGGGTTCACGCCATGCGTGCCGATCAGGCAACGGGCGCGGCGCTGGTGTGTGCATGTTGCCTATAGGGCAAGGCGCGGATGCAACCGGCTCCACACTGGTAGCCACGCCGCCACCCCTGGGCCCGGGCGAGCTGAGGTCACGGTAACGCTCCCGTCCCCCCCGCTCGCCCCTGGTCCGCGCTGGCCGTGCATGGGAACGGCCCGGCCCGGCGGCCGGCACTTGTCGGGATTCTGTCGTGTCCGGAGCTAATGTCCCGTCATGCGATCCTCGGCCGGCGGGTCGGGGCGGCGACCACAGCTCGGGAGGGCAAGCAGGGCAAAGAGCCCCCTTTCCCGTGAGATAGGGAGGGCGCATCGGCGGGCGATCGGCGGGTATCGCTCACAAACCGCTGCGTTGCGGTGCGGGAAGCCCGATTTCATTCTCTCCGTGGTCGTCAGTGGAGTACTTTTACGAAATCGGCCACATCGATAATTATTAATCAAGCAGTGCACCGTAGTACACCCGGTAAAACCATTCCATATCGTGCGAGCCTAATTTGAGCGGTGGGAATATTTGCACCTCCTGATTATGCATTCTCTGTGATTTCTCTCACCCCCCCCCCCCCCCCTTTCCTGCTCCGCCCCGTTTGTGTTCCAGGTGACTTGCCGCCCTCCGCCACCCATCTGTTGCCCCGGCGAGGCGCTCACCGGAGCATGCACGCTCGTCGCCCTCCCCCCTCCTTTTCCCTCATCATATCTCCCTTCCTCCTCAACTTGCGCGTTTTCATCTCTTTTCAGTCCCCGGCAGGAAGCGTCCGGCGCGTGGGTGCGCCCTGCGCCCGCTGCTAATCTGTGGCTATCTGGTTCCATCCCGAATTCTCGGCCGATCCCTTACAAGCTCCCTCCTAAACGGCTCGTAAAGCGACCGAAAGGGATCGGGTGGACAAACCTCGGCGGCGGGACCATCATGTTCGCAAGAGTTAGCTTTCGGTCTGGTTCATATGTGCCACCTCTCTTACACTTTTTCTCCACTTTGGAATTATGGATCCCTAAATTTATCTTATAATTTTTGGTAGTATACAGGGTGGGCGATCTACGTCGGACGTTTTCCTATTAACACTGTATACCGCATGCAGGCGTGAGGAAGGGTTGCAAACTCGCACTAGACCATAAGGCGCCGTCGTGAGACGGCAAGCCTGCCCGCACGCCTGCATGCGGTACAGTATAACCTGAGACAAGGGTTAAGCGTCGAGGAAAAAGGGGAGTGGGTGGCACGTTTCCTACTGGTAAAGACAGTCTTGGGGACTGTCTAAAAAGTTCGACATAGTTCGATATATGTCCCTTCACCAAAGAACATCTTCATAACATCGCAGGTTTTGAGTGGTACGAAGTTGCCCGACGCCCCCAACTGACGGAATGACCACACTCCTTCCCATTCACCTGCCCTGCTGCCCTCCTGTCCAGACCTATGGGGTCGCCATTGACGGGGCTACCCGCCGCCGGGTCTGAGCCGGGAGGCTACAAGTGCCTCGGTAAACAGAGTGTGCCCTCTTGCTCGCCCCACCCACTCTTCTCACCTTACCTTAGAAAGCATCACCTTCGTGTCGGCTTTCTCAGAAACTCACGTGGCGTTATTCCGGTCGCCGCGCGCGCAACCTCAACCCCCTTATGTTGTTGAACGCCAACTGAACTCTTATGTCTCTCACTCTGTTCCAGAACAAGACGGACGACGGCCTGATGGACGCTGCGGGCTGCGGCGCCGACTGCAGGATAGAACAGGTGAGCACAGGCGGTCAGCACGAGGTGTGTGCGCTCACAGGAGGGCACCTCGCCCGCGGCCCGCGGAGAGCGTGCGGGGCGACGAGGCGGGCGACGGCCTGCTGCGGCCGCGCGACCTCCTTGACGACCCTGCAGACGTGCACCACGTGCCGTCGAGGCGGAGGCCATCATTGGTCTGTCAAAGGGCCCATGCAGGCCCCGTCCGGGAGGGGGCCGCGGCCCTTGGTGACGCGACGATTATTAGGTCCGACTTATCATCGTTTACGGGGCGATATATTTCAACCGCGACAAATCTGTGCGGCCTGCTCCCGGTCTGGCACTGCCGGGGGAGGTGACTGGCCCCGGGGGGCGGCGTCCTCCTGCCACCCACCCGCGCCCCCTGCTGTGTTCCGCATCGGTCGGGTTCGGGCTTCAGAACAGAGTATTGCTCTGAAGGTTCAGCACTCGCACTAAACCCGACGACGAGTCGGCGTGCGAGTGAAACAGCGTCTTCTGTGGTCTGACGGGCGGATCGGGTGGGTCCGGACGGGTTCGCTCTTCCGAGGTTTGTCCAAGGACCATTGGGTTTGTCAGCGACGCATGCAAACCCGACCGATCCCGCGATCCGTCACACTTGCCTGATGCACTCCTGGCGACCCGGAGGCGGCCCTGCAACCTCGCCCTGACCGGAGGTGGCCCGCCGCGTGAAGGGCTGCTACCCGCCCGCCGCGGTCCTCGGCAGTCCCTTTCTCCTCTCACTCCCCATACACCGCGCGTCCTGTTTCCGGCAGCGTCCGGACGTTCCGGCCGGGTCGCGACGCGCCGGCCTGCCGTCCCCGTCCACTTCCGGCTGCCGCCGCGCGCAGCCGTACAGCGCCGCGCGCCGTCTCTGTGTTTGGATTCGTTTGGACGGACGGGGAGCAGGGTCGCAGGGAATGGCTTCCCTTGGCGCCCCCGTGCACCCCGCGCCGCCCCAGCGGTAAAGCGAAAGGCGTTAGGCGAGGTCGAGGTTCGCTGATCGCCGGGCCAGCGCCCCTAGCGCTGCTGGGGGAGAGGGGGGGCTCCCCCCTTGAAAGCGGAAGCTATTTGCCGCACCATTTGAGCCGGCGTGGCGGGCGGCGGGCGTGTTCGATATGGATGGTCGTGCTGGGCGCACTGGACGTCCTGCTCGCGGCCGCGAGGGGTGCGACAGGGTGCGGCGGGGCCGCCGGCCGCGGCGGTGAACAGGAGCTGCTGGCGACTTTTTGTTTACCCTCCTAATTAGGAAGTGGTAAATTAACGGATGCTGGGCTGCGAGGCGCGGTGGCGCGGCCGGGCCCCGCCGGCGGCAGCGGAGGGCGCGTCGCGTGGCGGAGCGGGGGCATGTATGTACCAGTTACCAGTTCAACTCCCCCAAGGTTTGGTCATTTGTCATTCTCATTTCGGAGTTGTGGTAAATTTAGCCGTAAAAGTGGAGCGAGCAAGAAGTAAGCGACCTAAGCGACGTTCGAATCGGCTAGGCTGGGCTCTCCGCGTGTGCGCCTGCCATCTAGGCAACCCCTCAGCTCGTGTGTGCACATGTTGCCTAAGTGGGAGGCGGCAGGCGGAGAGGCTGCTCGCATGCAGCCCGACCAACCCCGCTTTTATGCATTGCAGGTTTTCTGTTTTT